GAGGAATTCAGATTCCATTTCCGTTAACCTGTTGTACACTTTTCACTGGCACTTTCAGATGTGATATTATGTAAAATCTTCATAAGAACTTTCTGAGGTCAGTATTTTCTTCTCCCTGTTATAGGTGAGAAGGTTTATGTGCACTGCAGTTAACTGACTTACCCAAGGTCACACAGACTAGAGCAGGGCAATAATTTGGACACAGAATTTATGACTGCAAGTTATTTTGTGCATCACACCATGCTCCCTTCTTAATTTGTTGCCTGGCTGTCTCCTCCTTCTAAACAGATGGAACTTGACTGCTTGTGATAGTGTGATACATGGAGACAGAACCTCTTTTCTTAAAAAAAAAAAAAAAAAAAGTATAGTTGGTATATGATATTATGTTAGTTTTAGGTGTACAATATAATGATTAAACATTTATACACCTTACAATGAGATCACCTATCTAGTAATCATCTGTCACCATGCATACTTATCACCACCCAGCAACTCCACTTCTGGGTATTTATCAAAAACAACAACAACGACGATAACGAAAACACTAATTCAAAAAGGTATGTGCCCCTTTACATTCCTTGCAGCATTATTTACAATAGTCAAGATTTGGATGCAACCTACGGTCCATCGATAGATGAATGGATAGAGACAGAACCTCTTAATCCTGATCTGTGGGCTAGCGGCAAGCTACATAGTCTGGGAAGTTATAAAAACTCATTCAAGTTGCTCTGGGGGCTAAGCTGGGAACTTACACAATGGTCCCAGGAGCCTGAGAGAATACGTGTTTTTCAAACCTACTTAGGAAATATTTCAGGCCAGGAGAGAAGCCACTGTGGAAAGTCTGAGTGATTGAGTGGGGTGTTCTTGAAATGCTGGATATTGTTGCGACAGACCCTCTATTTACCCTGAGTGGTTCCCTCATTCCGGGGACAAGGATGGCACACAGCCATTTCCACCACAGCTCAGGAAATGACATGCTAAGGATCTGGAGGCTGCCTCTCTTAGCCTTTGGGTCTGTGGTTCCCTGGCAGCACACACCCATGCATTATTTCTGGGGTATCTGTTTGATTCATTACACTCAACACTCTACTCAACGTGACAAGGACTTAGTAAACAGGTAGCAGAGGTGGTAGAGCTTGGTTCTTCTAGTACAACTTCATTCTTGTCACTGCGAGGACATGAGTCTCGTATTGTGTTTTGTCGTATGGACCTGATCAATTAGATCAGAGTGATCTAGGAAAACAAACTATTGCTTGCTTGATTTACTTATTTCTTCACTTATTTTTACCTTACCTTATTTCAAAAACATTTGGGGGAAATTAGTGGTCAGTTGAGTAGTATGAAAGTATAAAATAGAAACTATAATAAACTGAGGTAAAAGAAAAAATATGGAAAGGGCAATTAGTTAAAGCCAAGGGCAGGTATGGAGACAATTCAGTTATTCCAGGGAGCCATTGATTTGGTTCAAAGGCTTGCAACGTGGTAAAGCAAAGACAGAAACACTATTTGTTATAAGATTTTATGTCCACACATTATTACGCAGGAGAAACTAGATTTTTTCTGTTGTTGAGACCTTGGAGAGGTTTCTTCCATGCATCCCTGTGGAGAGGGAGGGACTCTGTGTACAGAAAGGACCATGTCTTCAACAGCCTCTGTAAGTGATACAAGGGCAAGAGAGCCATTGTGTAAATAATGTCACATATCAGGGGTGGCAACGAGAGATATTCATAATTACTTTCCACTTTATAACCTAAAAAACATGTTTACATATAAAGTTCAGTCAGATCCTCACAAAAACCTTATGATGTAGGTATAATAATAGTAATAATTATTACCATCATTATTACCCTTCTAAGATATTAAGTGTTATTAAATCGCTCAAGAATTCATAGCCAATAAATAGTAAAAATGGGACTAGAACAAATGCCATCAGATTCAGAATACCATGTTTTTAAATTATTCAACACTATAAGAAATGTTTCGTACATTTATAATATATTATTAGGCTGAACCATATGAAATTATTTCTTTTTGATTTCTAAAAATGGCAATTTCACATATTTAATCATTTATTTATGAATAAATTGTGTATATTCAGTTGAACTATATGAAATTTTCATTTTTGTAAATCAAAAATGGCCAGTATAATAATATAGTGTATAATGTGGGGATGAGGGAGGGAGAGAGAGATAAAAGATAAGGAGGCTTGGATGGGTTGGGGGAGAGAGTGGGGAGGGAGAGAGAGAGGGAGATAGATGAATAGATAGATGATAGATGATTAGATAGATAGGTAGGTAGATAGATAGATAGATAGATAGATAGAGATAGATAGATAGATAGATAGATAGATAGAATGAAAATGCCCATTGGGTGTTATTTACTTGATGTTTTTTACTAGATAATTCATTCGGTAGGGAGGAACCTTTCCCACACCAGCAAGTGACAACTTCCTTCCATTGTCCTTTCTTGGTCACTCAATCCCACTGCCACGGAAAAATAATGACACCCCAAATGTTGAAATTAAACAAGACAACATACACAAAATAGAAAGAGGAAGACGCCCTGCCCAACGGGAGTGGGAAATACAGCCGAGAACCTCCTCTTTGTAGCTACCAGGTCTGTGTGGTTCTTGCACCTTCATTTTCTGAGGGTCTGAAGGAGTTGAAGACTGGGAATGAGATTCCAAATAGTGCATTCATTACAATAAAATCCCCTACTGCAAAAATACTGAATACCCTACGGAATTCATTACATTAGCATCTGACCTGTGTTTCTAACCAGCTAAGTCTTAAGTTCTCTGGGAAATACAAAATGAAAAAAAAAAGAAAAGAAAAGAAAACAAAGCAAAGCAAAACAAAACAAAGAAACAGCCTGGGGAAACCATTTTGTTAATTCAGTTGCTTGTTTCTGAAAACATCATTCTATGATTTTTCATTTTATCTTTTAAAATAGTCTGACGTGGCCGGGCCATGGTGCAGTCTCTCACCAGAGACCTTAAAAAAAGTAAAGCCAAGCCTTTCGGTCAAGTTGACTTGCATTACGGCCAATGCAGAGTATCAGAAACCTGCATCTTTACTGCTTTTGCTCTCACACCACTTCAAAAATGTCCAAACAGATGTTTTTTCAATTTCATATACAAACTTCACTTCCTGGCGGTAGCAGTGTGTGCCAAGTTCCAGCTCAGTGCAAGTTTTTATGGCAGAATTCTAAACCCCTGACAATAGGGGGTTATAATGAAATGCTGACAGACCCCTTAGCGCCAACAAATGCAATGGCTCAGTGCAAAGGAGGATGTGTGCCCGGTGAGGTCCAGCTGGGACCGTGCAAGCTAATCAATCCTTATGAGAAGAAAAGTGATTTTTCCTTAACTCCCCATGATCACAGAGATTTCTGGGCCAGACGTGCTGGCCTTTACTTTGGCCTCTATCCATAGAGAGAGAGAGATGTCCAGAGAAATTCTCAATTGCGAGTATGTGTGATCTACTTTCCCAAAATGGTGCACTCTGGTGTTCCCAAAGGTGACCTGCTCAACAAGCCTGCAACTTCCAGGGGACCACTTCTTCAATGGCCACCAAGCAATTCCAAAGTTTGGAAGAGAATCCATAAGACAGAAATCCAACCTGTCCTCAGGGACTCCTACTTCACTCACACAGTCTTAGACTATGCCCTGGGCCTCAGTATTTTTATATTTTCAAAAATAAATACCAAGGCAGTTTCTATTGTAGAATATTAAATATTAAGTAATTATTATAGAAAACTTGGAGCACATGAAAATTGTTTTAAAAAGAAAGCCTACTTCCATTATAAAAATGCTTGTTAACGTTTTGATATATTTCTATTGTCTCTTTCTTCAGAAAAGAAAAAATATCCTATTACAATAGTAACGTTCTCATTACAGACAGAGAAGTGTGTATATGCAAAAAATAAAAAGGACACGCATCATTTCTATGCAGAGATAACCATTGTTAACTTTTAAAGTATAGCCTTCCAGTCACGGATAGACACATTCTGAAAATTGCAGTGTCTGCTCAGATGCACAGCTAATGGCATTCTGCCGTAAGATCAATGAAAGAGAGTAGAATAAAACTGGAAAAATTACCAAAGTTACAAATACGAAGCTAGGCTCTATAAAATCCATCAAAGGTGCAGATCTGTATTCTAAGAATGGAGAACGGGTATTAGGAGTGATGTGTGCTTAGCAAAGTTAACTACAATGAACAAGCTTTTCCCAGGAATTTGAGAATTTATTAGTCTCTTTGTTTTTGGTAACAGAAAGGTAAACAGACAACCTATTTTACAAGAAGTAAATTGAAGAGGAACCTTACCATCCAAGATAGCTATTATGCCTATTGCTAAGGATTATATTATTTTTACCAAAGAAGTAGAGATTTTTTATTTGTTTATTTTAACAACTTTTCTGGTTTCTGCTACAGCAAAAGTAATACATGTTTATTGTAGAAAATTTTGAAACTATGGACAAATAAAAGAAATAAGTTTAAGAATATTCATAATCCCATCAGTCAGAGATAGCATCATTAAAAGTTTGGATGTAAATCACATCCTTCTAAACTTTTGCTTCGTACGTCTTTTAAAAAATAAAAGTGGGTTCGATGTATACGTTATTATGTAATCTGCTTTATTCATCCAAGGAGGCATATCTTTACATGTCTCTTAAGATTCTTCTCCAACATTAGTTTTAATGTTTGCATAGAGTCCCATTTTCTGGACTTAATATGGTTTACCTTATCCAACAGTAGGGTAAACTATATTATTTCCAATTTCTTATGATTATACAAATGCTCTTGGATCTTTTTTTTTTGCATATTTATGATTATTTCCTTGGAATTAATTTCTAGAAATGAAATTACTGGGTTTAAAAATATGCTCATTTAAAAATACAAATGCTTTGGTACCTGACGCCAAAGTCCCTCAGAGAGATTAAGGCTCCCTTTAGGAAAGAAAGAGGATCTGTTTCTTGCCCTGTTAATTTTTTCTTAATCTTCATCAGTTTGGTAAGTGGAAAATAACAGCTCATTACTGTTTTAATGTGCATTTGATTACTAATGAGTTTGAACGTTGATCAGCCTATAAAGGTCTTTTGGTCATTTTTATTTCTCCTTTTGTGACTTTCCTTTTCATCTCCTTTGCCTATTAGGATGTTTTTCTTTTTCTAATTAATATATAATAACTTATTAGCTTTTGAGGATATGAACACATCTAAATAATTATCAAAAATAGTTTCCCTACTTTGTCATTTGTCTTTTCTGTGTGTGTTGCAGAAGTTTTTTGTCATGTGGCAAATCTATCTTGTGATGTTCTTTTTAGGCGTGGGGATTGAAAGGATTATGTAAATTATATAACCTTCCTAATTTTTCTACAAGCACCTTTATAATTTTGTTTTTACAAATAACTCTTTAATCCACTTAGATTTACTTTAGTGTTTAACATGAGGAAGCACTCTAAATTTAGTATCCACGTGGCTAGTGTATTGTTCCCATGCATTTATTTCCCTATTAATTTGAAATGTCGCTTTTATTAAATTTTAATTCCCATATATACCCCAGGTCTGTTTCTGAACTCTTGTTTTCTCCAAGGATTTGTCTGCCTATATTTATGCTAGTATAACATTGATTTCATTGATGTAGACTTATTTTAAGTTTTAATATCTGTTAAGGTAAATACCTCCTTACTACTTAAAAAGTTTTTAACAAAGCTTTCTGGCTCTTACAATGTTTTTTTGGTTGTTGTTTTTCTTTTTTCTTTTTTTTTTTTAATAAATAGAAATTATGTTTGCTGGCTTGTACACATAAAATTCCTTTTAGGATTTTTATTATAGTTGCATTCAATTTTAAATTAACTTGAGTGTAATTTGGCATTTGACAGAGTCTTATAAAAAATAGTTTAAATGGGCATGTTATAGCTCTGTGCTTATTCAACTCCCAACATTTCTTTTATGCCATTTACTAAAGCTCGAGGTGACTCCTACTGAGAGGCAGCCACATTTACCTAATGAACCCACTTTAGGTTAGGATCTGTTACTGGAAAACAAATATTTGTAAAAGTAAGTTGTATGCTGAATAGAAATGGAATCAAGTGTGTGCGTGTGAAACTAATTTATATTATAAAACTCCTCCTCCGTTGTGGTGTATGACATGACTATTGCAGACGCAGAAACCGAGGTGCCATTTTGGTGCCTGCTTGGATCACATGGTGTGGCAGAGATTGGACTGTGGTCAGAATCAGGGCCTCCTGAGTCTCAGCTTTTCTTTAGCCTCCAATTCTGTACCTTGCCCAAAGGAGAGAGGTTCTCTCCCTTCCTGCTCCTACACACATTGCATTGATGCAAAAACCAAGGCGAGAAGGGGAGATTTTGCTTGGAACTATGACTAGGATCCAAAAACCAATGCTTAACCCTGTATCCTATCCTATAATGCTAATGAATTAGCTCAATATCTTCTTCATCTGCATCTTCAAGTATTACATGAGATTCTTACGGGGCTTTATCCTCCTTCCCAATTTTTTCTTTTGAGTCATATTACTTGGAGAAAGATAGAGATGTTCTCAGATGTTTCCTTCTGCATAGCTCTTTAAAATAGGACTACTTAAGGATAAGCAGTTTTTAGATAAATCTCATTTATTGAAGTCTTTGGTTTGTAGTTCAGCTATAAGAGACATCATATTGGAGGTATGCTGTATGATTGCTTTATAATGCAATTGTATGAACATAGCCCAACGTAGATCTCTATTAGGAGACAAGGGAAGCCAGGATGCAATCTTACACAAGACATCAGAACATTTGACCTTCAATTCACCTTGTACTTGGTCTTTGAACCATAAGTCACACTCGTCCCTACTTTCAAAATTTAATTATGGAGTAGCTGGAGATATGAAGCAGAAGTTAGCACTCCTGGCCTTCATCATGGGCTTTGCCATTAGGTTCCAGTAATTCTTTTACCAAGTCATATGACTTAGACAGTTCAGAATTCTGAGACTGTTAAAATGAGTCTCCGAAACTTGACCTTCTACTATAGGATGCTATCTAACAATTTTACCCTTGTGAACTCTATTTTACCCTTTTCTTGAACAAGTCGAACACAGAAGATAAAATTAACTTGTGTGATGGGACCTGGTGGAGTATCTGACTTTAAGAGGTGGGGCACTTTATTGTGTAAATTGCCTTTATTTTTCTTGGAAATTACAACACTTAGCTTTTGGCTTCCTTTAAGTAATTTTAACGTTAATATTGGTGTTTTTTCTACGCATTACATCAGAGGAGGCTGACTTGCAGCTTTATTTCCCAGGAGTTCTGAAAGCAGAGGGAGAGGGAGGTAATCTCCTAAATGTTAATAAACTTTTACATTTAATGAGGAAGTGGCCCATACAGATGGCACTCTCCGAGAAATGTTAACCCTGTACCTCGAAACTCCGGAGCCCCTAGAATTGCCAGGGAAGTACATAGCTTCCATATAGGACTTCTTTTTAGAGCGAAAAAAAAGGTTTTTATTCTTGAGTAGATTTGATGATTTTTCAGATGTTGGTCTTAGTGTTGCTTCTACTCATGAATGAAGATGTATCACAAAATCACCTCCTGCTGATGCCTTTCTGACTCTCCTGGGCAGAAAAGCACTCTGCCTGCTGTGTCTCCCCCACAGCGTTGCGTGCATTCTTCCAAAAGGATTATTACCCTCTTCGTTATTTTATTTGTGTCTTCCTCTCACTGGACAGGGCAGGGACATTGTTGCATTCAACATTTTTTAATCCCTGCACTCTGGAACAATGCCTGGAACAAATGAGTAATTTCTCAATAACTGTGTACAGGTTCTATGTACTGAAGGAAGAAATTAACTCCTCGATATGTCCCTTTCTAAAAGAGGATTGTGCATTTGCTTTCCAGTCATGTCATCAAGTCCCACTGTTGGATCTTCCAGCACGTCCTCCATCCTCCCATTTTCCTCTTCAGTTTTTCCTGCTGTCAAACAGAAGAGTGCCTTTGCCCCTGTCATCAGGCCCCAAGGCTCCCCTTCGCCCGCCTGCTCCAGTGGCAATGGAAATGGATTCAGAGGTAAGAAAAGGTTGGGAGTAAGCATGATACATTTGCCACAGGACAAGCAAAGAGCAAACAGCATAGCATCCTTCCATATCTCTAGCCATTTACCAGCAAAGAGATGCTTTAATGTTTTCATCAGGGTGCAGATAGTTTGTACAACTGGGCTAGTACTCCACTCAAGAACAAGATGAAGGAAAACAGAGAAGTCAGACAACTCTGCGGGGTCACAGAATTAAATGTGGTCGAGCCATACATACCTTCCAGGAGTGTCTGGACTCTTTAGACCTTTGCTTTCCACAAGGCCATGTCTCTGTTTCCCAGAAGGTGCCTGGTCACCACATCAGATGCCACATGGTGATTACTGCTTACCTAATCGGCTCGCCATCTGTGATGCACGCACATCCTTATGGCACAAATGCACAGGCTCCATCAGCAGCACCAGCGAGTTTCGAGCATTCTGGTTACATCTAGTCAAATTGATAGCAGGTGCCTGATCGGGGTGGGGTAGGGAAGAGAGAAAAAAAGACATACTGTGTCTAAGCACAAAAATGAATCACCCGTCAAACCCATTTTTGAGCAATGTCCTAAAATGTAATATGACATGACGTAGCACAAATGCGATGAGTACATGAGAATCTAATCATCTCAGTGTGAATGGGAGGCAGCTGATGGCAAAAGAGCAAATTGGAAACTGCTGAGCGCTGTGGATCCTGACGACCCACATTATTTTGGGGCTGCTTCTCGTGTCTTGACATGAAAACATTCACAATCAGCAGTGTTGGATTAAACCAAAAAGGGCAGGGGTCTGGTTAACCCCTCGTGGATCAAAGCCCCTGAGGTCAGCGGAGCCTTGGATGAGCTATGCTGTCCTTGGGACAGCGTCTGCCCACGGGCTTTATGATAACAAACGGGTTCCCGAGCCTTTGGGGACACCTGCGAAGGTTCATTTGCCAGCTGTGGCTGACCAGAGCTCTGGGAGTTGCATTAGGTCCCTGTCCCATCCTTCCATCAGAGATCGTGGTGTCTCTTTGAAGTCACTTGACTTGACAGAGAAACTGTCAAATGAGAACTGAAAACCCAGCCGTCAGAACTGTGTCCTTGAAAATTCTTTTCCTCCTGACTAGAAAAAGCATTTAGGTCTAATTGAGAAAAAAAACTATATATATGTGTGTATATATATATATAGATCTATCTATCTGTAGATAGATAGATCTATATATGTGTGTGTATATATATATATAGATCTATCTATCTACAGATAGAAAGATCTATATATGGGTGTGTGTATATATATATATAGATCTATCTATCTATCTATAGATAGATAGATAGATCTATATATATCTCTCCAACTACAGGCTCAGCCTATAGCTAAGTGTCTCCACCTGCCTCATCTCTCATCAAACCAGTGGTTTCCATCCCATCCTTAGGGCACATGCTCAGAACTTTTTCCATGATGGCTTCATCCCTGGCCTGGGAAATGAAAACGATTGCCGAATATTTGTTGTACCTTTCCCTTCCTCATGACTGCTTCAAGTGAACTTTCCAGGTTTTCTGGTTTTAGTCATGTCCCTTAAACCAAATGGGAGCCACACAGGTCTCGCTGAGGAGACGCAGAGTGCAAGGCCCAAGAAAGGCTGAGGAGGAGAGCAGGCGCGGGAGAAAGACGGAGGAGGGCAGCCTTCCCTCATTCAGGCAACTCTTGCAAATGTTTTCAGCTTCACTTTGAGGAATAAAAGTAAGACTTGACTTCCTCTTGCCACCTCTCCCCCACCTCCCCTCTCACGAAGTACGCTGAGTTGGGGAAGTAGAGATGATTTTCTCGGATTCCCTGGAGCTGTCCTGTCCAAGGAGACCCACCTGTGCGGCCTGCCCACATACGGGTCCTCAGGGAGGCAAGGACGAATTTGTCACTGGCTCCCGTGGCCCGGAATCCCCACCCTGTCTATTGCTGCATGCCCAAGGCTCCCTTTGTGTTATCTGGTCAGGGTGGAGTTAGCCCAGAGCTGGAAGAATCTGTGTGGTCATAGTGAGGTTTTCACGTCGAGGCAACAGCGGCTGAATATAGCCAGAAGACCCTTTCCGTGGTCTTCAGCCATGAGAGCTTCTGTTCAGCACGGGTCAGAATGCTTAGGCTGAGAGAATGGCTGAGCTGCACATTCTCGATTGTGTCTGTAGGAGTGACGACTTAGTTGGTTACACATAGGCACAGGCTCTGGACTCTGGTTTCACTTCTATGGCATCACTACGAAGTTCCAAGCTTCTTTTGGATCCTGCAATTTTCCCCAAGTTTTTCTGGCGATTCGAACCTTAAAAAAAGGAGCCGGACAGTGGGGAGGGGAGGAGGAGCAGGAGGAGAAGGGAAGCACTTAAATTAGGATTGTAGACTAAAAAAAATTACAAACAATTCTGAAAATAGAAAGTAATGTGTGGAGGCATAAAAGGAGAATTTTGAGTATCGGCCAGTGGAAAAGCACTAGGCTCAACATCACTAGGCGTGTGTCGGAATTCTAGCTCACCTGCTTCCAGGTTGTGTAAATCTGTACAAGTCATTGTCATCTAACAGCCTCAGTTTCCTAGTCTGTTAAAGAGGAAAGCTGAAAGCTAACTCCAAAGGTTACCATGCAGTAATTTGTGTGAAGAACAGGAAAGGTAGAGGATACTTCACCCAGCCCAGCAGAGAGAAGGCTGGGGTTGACAAAGGATGCTTTTCAGGGGTCTGATTCACTCTTCCTCATTTGGGACCAATTAAATAGAAGAAATTCAAGGCCCAACAGTCCAAGGTCCACTGATGCCGAGAGGAGAAAACAAAGCTGACATTGAACACTGCTCACTGAGTGACGGAATCTGGGGTGGCCGGGGCTGACAGACAGTGAGAGAGTGAAAATGTGGTCGGAGGTGCTTGCGTGATCACAGGCCGATGGAGAGGTTCTTCTCTCGACTCATTGTGAGATGGCCTTAGCGATGTGCAGAGGGCAGGTGCGACCAACGCCCTCTAACACTTGCTAATCACTGTTGAGCACCATGTGCAAGATGCTGAATTGGGTGCTTTACATGAATTATCTTGTTCAAGGCTCACCTATGACCCAAAGGTGAAGGCCAATACCATTATCACCATTTTTAGTTAAAAAGCTTGCCCAAGGCCACACAGCAAGTAACTGATGACTTGACCTCAGACATTTTGACTCCAGAGCCTGTGCTCTGATGGCCCAGTGTCTCTCTGGGGACACAAATAGTGCAATTCCTCACTCACCTTTCACCCATAACCACTTCCCACCTGGACCAAAGGAGGATTATTGCTTTCCTGTGAAATGCCAAAGGTAAAAAGAAATTAGAGAAAGTACAGTTAAGCCTTCTCCCTTCCCCCCACTACTCCCTGAAAATGTTTCCTTTTTCTCCAATTAATGTCTGCTTTCTGTCTGTTGGCTATGGTTTCTACAAGCGAAATGTCAGGGTTTCCATGTAGCAGAGATCCAGCCCCTCCAGTGCCCGATGTGAGACTAGGAAGAAGGAAACGATATGAAATCTGTTGTTTTTCTGGAACACAGTGGATCTTGTCCTTTGAGCATCTCTGCTCTTTTAATAAGCTCCCTAGGTAACTCTCTGAGGACCCAGAAAAAGGAAGGAAGGGGTTGATGAGTTTAAAGTGTAATAGACAAGTTAAAGTTGAAAATGCGAGCCGGAATCCCCCTGCCAGAGAGCGGTACGTGCAGTGTCGTTGTCCCACCCTCCACCTCATCTATCAGGCATTTATGGCTGATGAGTATAGATTGTCGAGATAACACTATGCACTAGGCACCTGATCCATTTTCCAGCTCCCTCCAGGAAAAAAATAAAATAAAATAAAATAATAAAACCTCCTACACTCTAGGATAATTACCAGGGTTGCTATATCTCCAAATCATCAGGGAGTGTCCAGAATTGAACTGCCTTTATTGAAAAGTTACATCGATTCAATATATAGTAATACAGGCAAAAATAATTAAGGCTTTGCTAGCCGTGTAAGACCTTAATCCAGATCTCACAAACATTCAATAAAGGCTGTATGGGCAGGGAAATAGATGGCTGACAATTTTGCCCGAGAAGACTAGCTGGCCTGAGAGAAGGGGCAGAGGAAGGGGAGCAGGGAGAGAAGGGAGGGGTGTTAGGAATTTTGCCCATTTTCTTACAAGCTTAGTAAGTACCACTCAGTGAAATGCTTCTGTGCTATTTGATAAGCCCTAGATAAGGCATAGGCAATGAAACTCAAAGGATCAAATTCTAGATATGGTTTGAAGTTTTGATGCCAGGAACCTATTCTGTCAGTTTGCAAGAAGGTGGAAGTTCTATGGGTTCATTGCCTGAAAGCTAAGGCCAGAGGGGGTACATTTTCTCCGTGGTTTTTCTACATTGTGCTGATGCTGCTTTATTGCCCACATCAAGGGAAAGCCTTGGACCTGAGGCCACCTAGACAGGCATTACCCTTATTCTCTTGACTAGATGGAGGAAGCGTTGGACAATGCACTTGAATAGGGGACAAAGAGTGGAGATTAGAGTGACTCCCAAATTAGGAACTAAACTGAATTATCTGTTCCAGTGGAGCAGCAGTGAGAACCGAAGGAAGATGAGCTAGTTAGAAAATACAAGCTAGAAAATTCAAATTTCAACTCGAATGGATAGACACCTAGGATGGATGGAAAGTCTGATTTGTCATAAATGATGCCTAGTAAGTAACTCAATAGGCTCGGCACCTGGAGTATGCTTTCCTGTTTCAACTAAGTGGTTTGGAACTGTATAATCAGGAAATTATTCTAGTCGCATAATGAAAAATGTATCACACATATAGTACGATCTAGTTTACATGTTTATGTTCATTACGTCATGTATACAACCCATTACTATAAAACAAACGAAACCTAACTCTGGGCCTCCCAAGCAAAATGTCAACAAGCTTTGTTTATGTTTCAGTGATCTGTAAGGCTTCGGTACCTCCATAGGCTGTCTGCTAGACCAGACCTGGAGAGAATGGGTTTCCGTATCAGCTGAGGGCACCGTCTCCCCGGACTGCATCAGACTCTGTGAACCCCATCGCCTGCCCCTCTTTCTGGGTTATAGCCGTTAATGTAAAAAGCCTCCGAGTCTCATTTCTGTGTCTCTCTTTCCTTGCAGCCATGACCGGACTTGTCGTGCCCCCGATGTAAAGAAGAGGAAGAACTGCTTTCTTATAGCACAAAACTACTTACTCGGTTGGACCAATAATGAAGAAAGCACTATGAGCTCTTTGGGGAGAGTCGTGCCCCCAAAATGAACATGATGGACAGATTTGGGTGTATGAGGAGCTGCATCTTATCTGGTCTCACATTTCTCCTGTAGCTCTGATGGTGGCTACACAAACTGACCCTCTTGGGGACAGCGACAAAAGATGTCATTGACGTAGTCAGTGCTAAAAGCAGAAATGCAATTTGTTATGAACATTATAAGAACCACCTTCCTATGTTTGTAAAATATTTAAGAAAAAAATTGGCAAACAATTCATGCTTAATATTTTGGATACTATTTGTTTTTCTTTGTAGGAAAAAAAGTTGAAAGTTTCTATTTTCTATGAAGCCTTTCAGATACCAATTTAGTTTATGCAGAAAAAAAATTGAACAAAACAGGGTACCAGCATGGAAGACTTTCTTAAAACGAAACCTGAATTGAATGATGAAATGTTGTTGTATGTGTGTTTGCTTATAGTTTAATCTCTTTAAAAAACAAACAAAAAAAAACACAAAAAAATGGAAAAAAATTTAAAATGTTTTACAATTATTTAAATAAATAAACGTGTAACTTATTGTAAGTAGAGGTAGAAATTAAGACCGTTTTGGAAGAGAGAAATTTCTCTTCCTGATGTAAAATGAAACTGATGCAAACATGTAGTAACAAGTTTAAAAGATGTGTGATTATTACTGCAGTTACTTACTAGACTCTTATCCCCCCTCCTGCACCCCACTCTTTTCCATTATTCTATTGACCCCTGGGCAAGAACAGGTACCTGACGTAGATTCCTATAGAACGACCGATGCAGAAAGATTCAAGTCCATGCACATACACAGGTACTCAAGTCCATCAATTCATTCCCAGTTCCATCTGCTTTCTAAACAGTCTACAGTTTTTTTTTGGTGTTCACTCTTTGTAAAGTTTTTTTAAACTTATATTAGCTTTCAGCATTCTCTCTGAGCAGTGCCGAGAATTCCCATGTTTTAGTGCATCCCTGGCTTTGCATCCCAGGGAAAGACACGTCTCACCTTAAAGAAGAGCCAAAGCCATGTGACTTTTCCAACTCAGTGGCCCCTTTGG